AAGGGAAGGCAAATAGCATCATGGGTTTTCAAACAGACAAAAGAATCTCCCAGGATGTGGAGAGCAGGCTTCTAGAGGCTTCTACCCTAAGCAAATAAAGATACCAATCCCTGTGGATTCAGCCTCTTAGGAGCTTCCTGTTCCTCTAACCTCAACTCCATGGCTCTCGTGCCACCCAGCTGCCCAAGTCCCTTCCCTCTGCTTGTCTCTACAGAGCCCACAGAAGCATGTGACACCTTTCCAACGGGCAGCACCTGCTCCCTGGCCTCCCTTGGGTGCTCCCCGCCTTCATGGTGATGATTTCCACACATCCACGAGACCTGTCCTCAAGGAAGAGCCTGACAAACTCACTCAACTACAGATGGTAGCAACCGATGGCTGCTGTTTCCACCCTGCGGACTTCAGGGAAGATTCCTCGCCCTGAATCTAGCTTTTCATTCCTAATTCAGGGCAGGCTGACCCACCATCTTCCCTGAGAATGGGTCTGCATTCAAGGAAGACATCAGTCCTCTGGAGCCTGTCTCTGCCCCCAAAGGCCAAATGGGCTCTTCCTTCAGGGATTTTGCAGTGGGCACATGGGGAGGTGAGTGAGTATCTGCTCATCTCCTGAAGTGGAGAAGTATTAGGGCAGGGCTGGGATTGAACTCAGGGGCACTCCACCACTGAGCCACATTTCCAACCCTATTTTGTATTTTATTTAGAAACAGGACCTCACTGGTTTGCTTAGTGCCTTGCCATTGCTGAGGCTGGCTTTGAACTCACAATCCTCCTGCCTCAGCCCCCCGCCCCCACCCCAGCCGCTGGGATCACAGGCGGGCGCCACCATGCCTGACAGAGTCCTACTTTTTTTTTTTTAACATTTATTTTTTAGGTGTAGATGGACACAACACAATGCCTTTATTTTTTATGTGGTGCTGAGGATGGAACCCGGGTCCCGCCCGTGCTACGTGAGCGCTCTACCGCTGAGCCACAATCCCAGCCCCAGAGTCCTACTTTTAATGATGCTCATTGTCTTGAGTTTCTCCTTCTTGTAACCAGGATGTCATTGGAGCCTCTTGCAGAGCTGAGTGACACAGATGTGTCCAATGACTTTCTGTGAAACAAACCAGTGTTGCTCAGTCCAGTGGTTCCTGAAGGCCAGGCCTCTCACCCAGGCCTGCTGGCTGCAACACAGAGTCCAGACCTGCCCATCCTGGAGATCCCGTTTCAGTAGGTCTCAGCTCTCTAGGGCTTCCTGTGGAGGACCCAAGGGGCGCGGAGTTATCCCCGTGGGCAGAGTCTTAACTTACATGTTCATGACTTAAAGAGACTATCATAGAGGCTAGTTCTACTGATATATGATCATCAGGCCCCTGCTCAGTACGTGGTCATATTCTAGATGTAAAGAAGTAAGAGTGAAGAGGGCAGGTGAGACTCCTGCTCCCATGGATTCATACTCCATCCAGGACAAGATGGAAAACTTGCAAGTCAACAGATAACTGAAGAGATCATTTCAGAGGAAGAGAAGTGCTGTGGAGACAGTTGAAGACATCAGTGGGACATAAGGGAGTGGACTTTAGGGAACAAAGTTGATAAACACCTCAGAGAAGGCTCTGGAAGAAGGTGATGCTTGAGCTGGTGTTAGAGTCTGTAAACAAGTCAGGAACTCCTGCTGTATCAATGTCCACAAGTTGTCGGTCACCCTCCGGTTAGTTTGCTGCAGCCGGACTGCGGCAAGCTGACTTGACTGGAAGAAGCCAACTTATGGAGACCGGAGGGCTGGCATGCACGTGTCCTTGAGAAGAGTGATCTTAGTGCGGCAGGGGCAGAGGGTTGTGACAACCTGAGTTCTTTGGACTTGTTTTATGGCAAAGGGAAGCAGGAAAATGGAACAGTAAGTGGAGGGGGACATGGAGGTCAAGGGAGGGATCTGTTGAGGGGGCTTGGGCTGGTCAGTTTTTATGGTGCTTGGGAGGTCCAGGACTGGGTTCTGCCTGTGCACTCCCTGCCCAGCCCTGAGAAAATTCAGGCAATGGACAAGGACCCACATGACACTTATTGCCCCTGTTGATGTGGACCCTCCCCAGATCCCTGCACCTGTATTTATACTCTGCCTTCCTGCCTGCTACAAAGCACAAAGAGTCCTTACTCTCATTAAAGCTCATTCTTGGGGTTGGGGGTAGATCAGTGGAAGAGCACTTGCCTAACATGCTTGGGCCCTGGGTTCCATCCCCAGTACTGCAAAACAAACAAACAGACAAACACTCCTCTACTCGGGTCCTGGAACCTATTGCCCTTTCTTCTCATGGTCTTTGCTTTCATTGTCCCTGCCTTGACTCCTTTAGCTCTGGTGACATCAGTTTCTCCTCTCCACTGGATGGTTCCACTGGCATGCACACATCCCTAGGATCTAAACAGGGGCAGCAAATTTTTTCGGTAAGGGGCCAGATAATAAATCTTTTAGGCTTTCTGGCCATGTGGTCTCTGTGGAAACCATGGAACCCCGCCCATGGCAGCAGGAAAGCAGTCACAGGCTGCAGCTCAGTGACACCAGGTGGCATGCAAATTTGGCCCCTGAGTCATAGTTTGAATAACCATTGTTTACTGGGCTCCTTCGTCAAGAAAATCTTGATGGAACTTCAGCTATGAGTCAGAGGCGTGATGGTAGGCAGGGCACAGAAAAGAGAAAGTAAAAGATGAACCAAGGGATGATGTCAGAGTGAAGAAGAGCATCAAAAATGGAGCTCTGGAAGAGAGCTAAGTGGAAGAGACTATGAGATGCTCTGAGACCAGAAAGCCCTGGGAGGAGCATTGCAGTTCAGGGAAACTGAAGACAAGAAAAATTTCCCAGAGAGCTCAGAAGACAGTCTGGCCAGGAAGGGCCTGGAATTAGGATAAATAGATTCAAATTAAAATCTATGTCCCCTGTACTGACCACACCTAGGATCTGCCTCTCCACTCTGTCCCTGTTATTCCCAAGCAATGGCTCCATGCCCCTATGTGTCCTTTTCCTCAGGACATGTAGCAGATTGGTTCCTCGAAAAGAGGTGACCTAACTGCCTGACCACAGTTAAGATGGGGCCCCAGTCACCCACTTGCCATCTGGTGGCAAAGAGCCTTCAGGACATTGACTAAGTACTTGCTGGAGGGAGACGCCGCAGGACATGGGCGAAAGAAGGGATTTCCCCAGGAGATGATACCTCAGGAGCTGGAAGGACAAAGGTGCAGAAAGAGAAAAAGTCTGGAAGTTTCCACACAGAAGCAAAGGCCCGGATGGGTGCGGATGGCCACAGCACTGGACATACCAGCGGAGGATAGGCACAAACTGGGCTCTATCACTCGGGCCACAGTTTCACTGAGAAGAGAACACACACCCGCAGTGGAACTCTAACTCCTCGGTGCTCTGAAAGGGTTAAATAAAAGGGAAAACACCTAGAATGTATAAGAATGTCTAAAAAGCAACCTGGCATTAATTATCACATGCAGGCTGTAATTATGGACTAAAATGGAGGCTGTTTTATTTGTCAGGTGAGAAGACTAGATGCCAGGCATCCTCACAGTTTCTTAGTTGTGAAAAGGACTTCCCTCACCTCTGTTCCCCACCCTTCCTCCCAGAGTACTTCTGCCTGTGTACTCACATGCGCGCACGCGTGCATACACACACACACACACACACACACACACACACCACAACACATACTAGACTTTATCTCAGAGATTACATCTAGGGCCCCATTCCTAGAACAGGTGTTATGCTCACTGAGTGAGACAATGGAATCTCTGTTGATTCTGGAAAGAACTATTCAAGGGTTGTTTGTTTGTTCAGAAATAATGAAAAAAAAAAAAGATGAGCCAATAATGAAAATGGAATGGATCTGTCTCCTATCTTTTGCCCTTTATACCCCACACAGCTTACAGGCAGGCGCTAAACAGCCAGGCAAATAAAGACGTAACCATTTCCTTCAAAAGTCACCCCTGACCTTTGCTTGCTTTCTAATGGGCTCCCAACCATGACACGTTAGCCCCGCCCTCATACCCAGCTACCTGATTTGACTGTCTATCCTGCCTAATCACATGAATAGCCGAATCACCTCTGTTCTGTCTTAGCCTGCAAAGAAGCAATCAGTTCAGACACACGGGGGCCTGAGGCAGTCTGGTGTGCATCCCTTCCCCAGGGAGTCACCCTGGGTCCCCTCTACCCTCTGCCCTTGCTGTAGAAGTATTTAGCCAGTGTTGACACATTTTCTGTCCTACCAGGCCTGGTCACTGGGGATACAACGGATTCCCTTTCTTTCTCCTAAATAGAAGGTGAGAAAAGGTAAAATGTTCAGTCCAGTGCTGGCTAACTAGATTTCAAAAAAGAAATCAAACTGTGGAGCAGGAAATACAAGCAAAGGGTTTGAGCTTTTATTGAGGCTCAACAAAATAGATCTTTACAGATTTTTAGATTGCTTAAACTATTAGATTATTAAGTCTCCATAGGACCAAAGACCTTGTATGCTTGTTAAAGAGTCCCCAAGAGAGCTGAGAGCCAGAGGGGACAGTTACTCAAGGCAAGAAACAGGAGACCAGCTGGGCACAGTGGCACATGCCTGTAATCCCAGCGGCTTGGGAGGCTGGGGCAGGAGGATTGTGAGTTCAAAGACAGCCTCAGAAACTCAGCAAGACCCTGTCTCTAAATAAAATACAAAAAAAGGAAGGGGGGCTGGGGATGTGATGGGGCTCAGTGGTTGAGTGTCCCAGGGTTCCATCCTAGTATCAAAAAAGAAAAGGAAGGAAGGAAGGAAGGAAGGAAGAAAGGAAGGAAGGAAGGAAGAAAGAAAGAAAAGGAAAAGAAAAGAAAAGAAAAGAAAAGAAACAAAACAAAATAGGACACAAACCTAAGGGAGAAGAAAACTCAGGATCATAGTAAGGAGCTGGGGTAGTTCCCCAACCCAAGAGTCCAGAGCAGACATTCACATTAGAGCTTGGGTTGGGCTTGAAGAACCAGAAGGAAAACTAAAACATCCCAATGTTTAGTACCTAGTCAAAGATGACCCTGGAGAGCTCAAATCTGGATAGTATCATTCTTTTTCCTGGTTTCAGGGTATGTCTTTCCACCACCTATAATCTTCAAACAGTGTTAATTGATGGAGGTACTTTGATTGGGACCCATCACAGGTACAGGTAAATCAGCCGACTCTCCCCTGGCTATGGTGGTCTCGTAGTCTATTCTGATCCTCAAGTACCATAACCTGGGTGGCTTGTCAATAACAGAAATTTATTTCCCACAGTTCTAGAAGCTGGGAAGTCCAAGATCAGCATCTGGTGAAGTAACAGACTGGCTCTGGTGAAGGTTCACCTGGTAGATCACGGTCGGTGCCTCGCAGGATGGAACAGGCAAGAGTTCTCGGTGTCCTTTTTTTCTCAGTCTCTACCTGGATGATTGAGTCACCTCCCTGGGCCCCCACCTCCCGATCCCATCACATTGGTGATTAGATTACAACGTGAATTTTGTGGCGATCCAGCCAAACCTTCAGACCACAGCTGGTGTGCCAGGCTGATTCCCCCTTGGGGCATACTCCTGGAAATTGATATCACTGGAAAAAATGGAACCTGAAGGAAAAGTCATGTTCAAGGGTTAAGGAAGGTCTGTAGGCCACTTCCCTGAGGGTGGGGTGATGGTGGTGAACAGGCATGTGCCACAGGGAGGAGGGAAAAGACAGGTTTTTTAGGTGGCCGTGTGACTCTCAGCCTCTTGAAGGATGGCGGCTCATTCTAAAAAGGGGTCACTAGGGAGACAGGAGAAGAGACTCTTCCAGACAGTCATTTCAGGTACCTCTCAACTACCCTACCGCATCCAACCTTTCGTGGCCAGAATTTAGGATTCAGAATAAGATTTTTTTGGAGGGGAGAAGTATTGGTGAGTTTTGATGGAAAAGAGGAAAGCCATTATGCAGAAGTGTATGTGAGTGGATTACAAGCCTGCGTGGAGGGCCGGTGTCACCCACTTCATTAGAGTAACAGATTGCTCGTACCTGTCATATTCACTGAGTAAAAAGGAAGTAGCAAAAAAAAATGGAATGAGAAATGATAATCAAGAATGAGCTGGTATCAGATGTTTTCTCTTGGTTTCTGCTTGCCCAGGTCCGACTGGTGTAGCTTATAATTAGTCTCTGCTTGCAGATGTGTGGTTCCAAAGACTTGTGGATTAAGGAGAAACTCTAGAATCTCTCAGTACCTGACAAGTTGTAACGTGAAAAGCTACACTTAGTCCATTAAAGATTTTTCACAGTGACATTTGAGTGCAGCTTGAGAAATATGCCACCTTGCCATTTATCATTTTCAGGGCACGGGTGTTGGGAAGGAGGTTGCTATGAAGAACAAAACAAAATGGATTGCGTGTGTCGAGGTGAGCTGGAGAATACTGATAAATGTACTTCACTGAATGTCACCAAATGTCACTTGAGAAGCCATTTGCAGCTACCATAACACTCCCAAACCCAACAAAGAGGAGCAAAAACAGGCAAAATGAACTGGGCGTCTTGCTTCCGCATGAATAAGCAATCAGCCCTCTCAGAAGTTACACCAGAAAGTTGTTAAACTTGATAGAAGAAGCTTTTTCAGCCATTCTGATGAATACTATAGATGGTTGCAGAGGGATGGAGACCGTCTGAGGATGTTGGCACTGGGACTCAGGAATGAACTGAACAATCCCTTATCCCTTTGTCCCTGGTAGGTACCTTCCTTTTGTATGTGGAGAGACTGGTTGTCTCTAGGGAACATTTTCTGGGTTCTTCCTGACCTGCTGCCACTTTTGCTGATTCGGTGGACACCTGTGCTCCCCCACCTGCTCCTAACCTAGCCTCCCCTTGTGATCCAGGAGTGGCTGAAGAGGTCACCTAGGCACCAGGCCTCCAGACTGCAGCCTCGCACACCTTTATCAGCAGAAGTTCCATGACCCAGGCTTTTAGCGTCTCACTCAAGAAAAGAATCTTCAGCGGTGGCCCAAGTTAATTTGAAAAATCTGAGGATGGGAGTCAACTTTGGTTTCATTCTTGGTGACTTGGCCAAAACTTGACCCTCTCTGTGACTTAGGATTTCTGGAAAACTGGTGCCAAGTTTTCTTCAGAATTCAGTTTGGACCAAGATGTTCCTCTCTCCCTCCTCAGCTAGGTGAGTCTCCAGACTGTGCTGCAGAGAAGTATATGGGAAAGAAGATCATATTCTCAGAAAAGCTTTCCAGGGAAATGTGAGACTCATTTAAATAAAATTCTGGCCCCTCTTCCTTTCTGAATCTCTGCAGTCTCCTCCCCTCCCTCAACACATATGCACAAAATCACCCAATGCATTTTTCCTCCTTTCCAGAGCCGCCTGCACTCCTTTGGCCTTGTCAATACACACACACCCACACCCACACACATACACACATACACACACACACACACACACACATACACACACGCAGATGCACATTGCCCACACAAATTGAGGTCAGTTCAGCATACATTGGAGCAATGCTGTGGTCTGGGGCTCCCATACAAGAAGCCCTTTGTTGAATGTACATCCTAGGCTCAGTCCCTGAATGTGCTAATGGATAGACTTCCCTCTTCACACTGTTCCGCCGTATGTTTGGCTTGTGTACGTTAGAACTGAACACATTTTACAACCAGGAAGAGATGGGCTCTTGGGAATTCGAGCTTCCCTGGGATGAACAGGAGGGGTTGGAGGTGGGCTCCTCTTCCACTCTCATTTCTCAGTCCTTCATACTCCTTGCTTTTGAATTAGGTACTTCCCGTGGAAGGGCCTTCACTTGGGTCTTGGGAATTCAGAAGGCCTCTGTTTATTATTGAAATTGAATTGCCTCGACTTGCTGACTTTCATGCTTTAGTTTAGAAAGAAACAGTGGTTTGTTGGCAGAGAGGTGAGGAGAAGATGAAAGACGGATCTCTGGATCAGAGGTGAGGGTTAGGGCAAATGGGAGGAGCTCCTACAGGGAGGACTGAGCTATGAAATGTCTATGAAATGTCTGCTAGGGACAGGGTCTCTAGTCCAGCCTGTGACCACATTACTCAGCTGAGGCAATTTCTGAAGAGCCAACATCTGTGTGTCCCATGTAGATTGCCTGTCTCAGACCCAAAGACCCACTATAGCATAAAAATGTGTTGGAAACAAAAAGAGGAGGTATGGATTCTCGCCTTGCCAGTATTCTTTCTTTTTCTGGTTGGGATTTTTAAACTCATATCTGAATGCTTGAACTAATAAGCATCTGTTCCCAGGGGAGAAAAAAAAATTGTTCATAATTGATTAATATCTCCTGAATCCTGCCATTGCTGGAGGCCAGAGCTATGTAAAAACTTTTCTTTCTACTATTTTAGTCTTTAAGGAATAAAAACAAAAGCCTTGTCCTATAGACAAGGATAGTTGACATTGTCTGCCTCTCTGATGAAAAAAAAAAAAAAAGCAAAACTGTTTTGGGGAGCTACTTTTACCCACTAATTCGTGGCAGGGCCAAGTTTCCTTGTTTAATCTGGAGGCCATTTTTCCATGGACTCTTCACTGGTCTGTGCACACAAGTGTGACCAGTCTCTATTAACTATTTTGCATTCTGAGATGTTTTGAACAAAACATTCAGTTGGTAACATAAAAAAAAAAAAAAGGTGAAACTCCTAAGAATCGCAGTAAACCCCTCAGTGCAAGTATATAGAAAGTACGTCAATATGGGGAACATTTGCCCACAGAGAAGTCTCCTCTGAGTCAGAACCTTCTGTGTGATAGCAGTGGATATCCGGTTGCCAGCCCCAGACATCATCAGCCACCTCAAACTGACCTCCCTTGTTGGCCTCACCAGAAGGAAGAATATAACTCTAGAGTGGGAGAGAAAAGTGAATTTCAGGCTAACCCAGCAGCAGGCATTCTAAGGGGAAATGTTCAGAGAAGTTTATTATCCAACTTTAAAAAAAAAAAAAAACCTTTCATTTTTTTTCACTCATTAAAAAAACAAAACAGAATAAAACAAAAAACACTTTTATTTGCCTACCTTATGTCAAACCTGACACTGCATCTGAGCTTGATGCCAAATTTGCTTATATGTCTTACCCCTTACCATCTAGACTCATAGTCAAATTTTACTGTCCAATTCAATCACCTCTTTCAGGAAGGCTTCTGAGATTTCTCCTACACTTTCCTCTCATTTGCTACTAATGGGACTACTAATGGGACTGCTTTCAACTGTATCCATCCTCTCCCCAGCCAGTATTATCCCCCTGGGGGAGGAAGGGGAATCTCTTATCTGCATCACTGAGATGGTCTTTCCTAATCCTCTGTTTAAAATGGGATTTTTTGGGAGGAAGCCATTGTGGGATTGAACCCAGGGGTACTCTACCACTGATTCTCTTTTATTTTTTTTATTTTGAGACAGGGTCTTGCTGAGTAGTTGAGGGCCTCCCTAAATTGCTGAGGCCAGCCTCAACCTTGCAATTCTCCTGTCTCAGTCTCCCGTGTGGCTGGGATTACAGTCGTGCAGTCACCATGCCCAGCTAAAATGAGATTTAATGCTACTGAAAGATGGGTTGGCTCTCACTCACACTGGGAAACAGCCTTCTGTCCTCCTTGGCTATTGATAGTGTCTGGATTCAGCAGACAATGAAGGGAAGTGTTGCAGGTAAAAAGCAAGTGGGTGGCCCATCTGGGTTTCTTGGGCACTCCCTGGTAGTGGAGAAGAAATCAGACTGGTTAACTTAGGGTAGGAGGAGCTGAATTTGTCAAATAATTGTGTAGCCTGGCTTTTGCTGGCAAGTACGGGACACTTAGGTGTTTAAAGTCACCTTCCTCCAACCTCTGCATCAAATGTGTTTTAGAGACTCAACCAGATTTAATGTGTTCAAAATGGAAAGAGTTCACATTTTGTTCTAGATCTGCCAGTATCAAAGTACCCAAGCTTCATTTTTAATACAATGACCCTCACTACTTTTAAGTAGAAAAAGTTTAGGTAGGAATCATTATAGTTTCGCCCCCCCCCCTTTTTTTTCTCTCTGCCCAGGTGGTCAAGAGGGGAAGAATCCTTAACCCAGCAAACCCACACCACTGATTGTATCATTGAAAACAGATTTTTGCAGGAGGTTTGCAAATGTTAATGAAGACTTTTGATGAAGAGATTTGCTTTTTAAAATCTGGGATTTAGAAATTCTCTCCCGTCTGATACATCTTATTTTCTTATGGGTCTTTTAGGAAAGCCTTTTTCTCAGAAATTTTCTATCTTGTTAAAAGACTCCCCTAGAAGGCAGAATATTTTGTGTCTGAGGCAAGCGATGGTCCAAAAGGATCAGTGCTTCAAGTCTTGTGATAAATGCCCAAAGTTCTAACAAGCTTATAAAACTACTATATTGTTTACTTAAAAAAAAAAAACCTCATCAAACATAATTCAAAGTAACTATTCCTTATCGTTTTTTAAATGTTTCATTCCATTTCTTGTAAAATTTACTAATTTCCCTGCCTAATTAGGAAAGAAAGTGGGGGGAGGAAGCCTACCTCGATTTTAAGAAGGAAAAGATCTTTAAAGTTTCTTAAAGTAAGAGTGGTTGGAAAAAATTTCCCCCTCTCAAATGGCCATTTGGAAAAATATATATTTACATATCCATTTACTTCTGGGGTGAGAGCAGATTTGTTATTTTGGTTCAAAGGAAAATGTTTTTGAAGTGATGGAAATCTCTATGTGTGTGTTTCTAGAATTAATATGCATGTATTCATTTTATCGGTGGGATTTCCTACTAGGGGAATCCTCATTGGGAGAAGTACCTCAGTCCTGGGAGCATTTAAGGAAATTTTAATATCCAAACAAAAGCAGTATTACCATTGCTATCCATTCTCTCACCCAGAGGAGAAACAATTAATAATTTGCATATGCTCATGACACAAATTAAAGACAAAGAGCTCCTCACAGGCTGTGGTTACTTATGCAGACCTCTCAGCTTGCTCCATGGTTTCAGCCCAGTACTGCCCTACCTTCCAAATGAATAGCATCAAGCTATATAACTAAAATTAGGGGTTCTGGGCCCTCCGGCCCATTCTCACTGGAGAATCCTCTTTTCCCAATCAGAAACATCTCCCAATCCCTCCAGGAGCTTCTAGGCAAACAGAACGTATAGTTCCAAGGGGGTAAAAATATGTATATACTTTGCCCTTTTTATTTTAATGGCCAAACATTGTAATGCTAGCTAAATAGAAATTCTTGTCTGTTAATAGGTTCCTTTAGTTTGTAATAAATAGGAATGCTAATGACTAAAATTTGGTATTTGGTATGCATTAGCTTTTGTGAGCTTTTCTTTACAGTCCTCATTGACATGCAATATGGCAAGCTTCCTTTGAAACATATTTATAAAATAACTACAGTATAATTAAACCAACAAAGCCATCTTTTAAGTAAGCTTAATAGCTCAGCTTTTTTTTTCACCTCAGTAAAATTTTATTTTAAAAAGAAAAATAGTTATGCCTCAATCCCACTGTATATTTTATTCTGTGCATCTAATATTTCCTTTGCATCTACAATCTATGCATATCTAATTCTTTTTGACAACTATGATTATTAATAAAGTGCTGGTGAAAGATATGCTTCATAGCTTCTTCAACAAGAATAATGGTTTTTTGTTAATGGAAATTGTAACATATCTTGACAGATACAATATATAAGATGGGCTTTTTTCTTAATTGTTAATATTGCTGTGCTGGATACACAAGGAGCAGATCAACAGATATGGCAGGTAATAATCACAGTGGATGCTATTTTATACAATGTAACTAAAAATATTTTAATGATATAAAAGCAATAGATAAATAAAAGCAATTATGTTTAATTTTGCTTTCCGCGTGCCGGCAATTTTTGGTGGTTGCTGCTGTTGCGGGTGTGTTTATTGGAGATGGAGAAGAAGCCGGGAGCGCAGACGACCCGTGCAGCAGCGGCTCTGCCTTCTTGCTGCCCGAGGGTCCTGTGAATCGCCCTTTGCTCGCCGCGGCATCCGCATCCTGGGCGCAGGACCCGGTTGAATGCTAATTTGGGATGTACAGTTGCTTGAGTTCACCCAGTTTCCTGCAGTTTTGCAAAACTGTTCTCCTCTCCCCAGGCCTCACGGTTTAAGACCATGCGATTTACTGAAAGGAAAACTCAAAAGACACCAGGCGTGGGACTGGAGTCGCTCGAACGGGCTCTGACTGCTCCACCGCCTCCCGGAACCTGGCCACTCTGCTCTGCCCCGGGCGCCCAGCTCCACTACACCGAAACTCCGTCCTCTCCGCCGAAGTGCTGTCGTGCCCCTTACCTACCCCCTGCACAGAGAATAAACACAGTTGACATCGCTGTTATAATCTTTATTTAAAACTGTTTCCAAGGTTACAAATTACCGTGCCTCGTATGCAACAGGTTCCTCCGAAGCGGTATCATTACAGATTAACTGTAATGTGTAGGATTAGAATAAAAGCATAAGGGATTAGGTAAAAGGAGAGACGCTAGAGAAATAACACCCTAGCGCATCTCGACTGCAAGTCAGCCGAGGGAGACCTGGAAGGCGCTGGGCGTTGGGGCGCCGCGGCGCCGGACTCTGTTCCTGGGCTCACCGCCCGGCCTCAGCTCGGTAGCGGTCAGGGGCAACGGCGCTGGAAGGGTCAATCCCTAAGCCCGAGTTTAGGGACGAAGCTTCTTGAGCGCCAGGGACTAGAGATGGGCCGCGGGACTGGTGAAGCCCAGGGTCCAGCAGGCCGCACAGTCGAAGGATGCAGGCAGGCCTGTGGTCCGGCTGGGGGCCGCAGGAAGCGCGGCACCAGGACACAGTTCTCCAGCTCCGCGAAGCCCCCGAGTGCGGCGAAGAGATCAGCACGCCCACACAGGGGTCACTGGGTTTATCCTTGTGGCTGGCATCGCATTCAAGGCCCAGGCCTGATGTGGTCCCTCATAGAGTCCTCCAGGTCCCCTCCGGGATGGGCCCAGCGCAGACCGCCCGAGCCCTTCGGAGCCCAAGAGTTGGGCTTTCGCACCCGGCGGAGGCCATGCGCCCATCCGGCCACCTCCCCTGCCCGGTTGCCGCTTGCCCCTCTCGCTCCCGGAAGGCCCCAGAGCCCCCTCTCCCTTGGTTGTGTTTCCTGAGGGGCCAGAACTCGCCGCGCTGGCCCCAGCTGGACTTCGGCCTGCCCTGGGCCACGGCCTCCAGCCGCTGACGCAGCCCCGAGGGCTGTTTGCGTGTCGGGTGGAGGGAGCGGGGCTGGAAAAACAAACAGGGCCGAGGCGGGGAGGCTTGGGGAGGGGGCTGGAAGGAAGTGCGCAGTGTGGCAAAAGCGCCGAACAAAGCCCTCTCGGGAGCCCCGTCACCCCTCGGTGACCCCGGGCCCGCCCCGCTGAGCCGCGACGCTCCCGGGCCTCGCCTCGGAGCAGGCCGCACCGCTCTAGCGGCGCACGCGGGGTGAGCCGAGGGCTCCGGGCGCCGCTGCCTCCCGGGCGCGGGCCCTCCTGGGTCCCTGCAGGCAGAGCCCACCGCCCTCCCCGAAGGCTCGAGGGACAGCGTGGCGGATGGTTACGCCTCACCCCACCTCCAGAGCCACCAGAGAGAGGCTGAAGGGAGACGCCATGCTGATGTCCTGTGTCAGGAAACTGGTCGACTGGGGCGCGCTGGAGCCACAGCTGTACCGCAGCCGGAGAGAGGGCGAGCGGGCTCCCAAGTGGACGAAAGTGGGCGACCAACTTCGCCCAAACTCCTGCTTGCCAGAGGAGGGCCCTGGCTGAGGCGGCAGCGGGAGGGGACTGTGGCAAACAGCTGTTCCTCATACATATTTCATTACACAATCAGATAATGCGTCCCACCACCTTCTCAATTATTCACAGATAAACATTTTCAAGACGTTTTGACATCTGTCTTAGTGCCTGCTATTAATTTAGTAATCACTGTAGTTAAAAATGTATGGGATTTTTGCCGTCGGAGTACCTCCTCTCGGCGCGCGGGCCCAGTGTTGGGCTGCGGCGGGGAGCCCGGGCCCTCGGGGAGTGAAGACACCTTTGGAGGTGAGATGGCCTCTGTACCTCTGTAGCGCGTCGACACTGTGGTGGAGGGGATTAAAGGAGGATCTAGTTATTTGTAGGAGATGGTGATTCACTCTCCCCCACCCGCATACCCTCGGCCCAGTCGCGCTGCAGCCCTAGACCCACAATGGTGTTCAGCCTTTTGCCCCGGGCAACGGAAATGGTTAGTTTCATCTAGGCAGCGGGTTTCTGCTGAGGAAGCTGAGGGTAACACTGGCCAGTTTATTTTGGGAGGGCTGGATGGGGGGGGGGAGAGAGAGACACACACAATCATTGAGAATTTCTTACAACAACAACAACAACAACAAAACTAACAACAATGCAGCGATCTTCATTCAAGAGGTCACAGAAATGCTCAGTTTTGCCCTGAATGTGTGTCCTCAGCAGAGGTGACTAGAGCATTTGGGAAATAAAAAAAAAATAAATGCACTCCAGTCACTGTACACGGGGCATCTGAGGATAGGAGAAAACAGAGTTGCTTTTCTGTTTGTGTGATACATGTTGCAACCGGCACAACAATGTACCTGCAAACAGTTTTTACATCAGACAAGCAGAGTTTGAACAATCTTGCAAGACTGGGAAGTAATAGAGAATATTTCCAACTTTTAAATATTGTAATTGTGAGAAAAGTTCTAGATAAACTATCCAAAGAGAGGGAGAGTACCTGAAGGCAGAGGAGTTCGTTCCTTTGTGTTCCAGAGCTCAGCTATGGGGAGTGAAAGTTATACTTTGGGTCTGAGAGTGATGGCCCCTTATTCATTTCTCTGAGTGTCATGTGGTCTCTTCCTAAAATGAGATAGCAGGTGAACTCTCATTTGGGAATGAGGGAAAAACAAACCTGGATGAAGAAAAATGGCCAAAGAAGAACTGCCCTTCCAAGGAAAATTAAGATTACATGACTCTAAAGTGATTTTCACTTTTTATTATTTAAAACATCCATGAGAACAAAACTCTTGCTACAATGGCCAGGAATAAAGTGTAACTTGAAAAAGAAAAGGATGCAATGTTTGCCCCCAAAAGAGGAAAAAAAATTCTTCTCTACACACACCCACATCTTCTTGTTTCTAGGGCAACATCTGCTGTGACAGGTCCTCTGGGAGTGTTTTTTGGTGGTTCATTTCTTCTTCACAAAAGACGTTCGTTCCTTTGCCCCTTGAAGGATGGTCATCCGACTTGCTGGCCCAGAAACTCCTTTCTATCCGCCCCCACCCCACTTCCTCTATCTGAGCAAATATTTTCAGACTTACCCTCTTCCTTCAGAGAGAGGCTTAGAAAATGAGCTCAAAAGAGAAAGTTGGGAAGAAGGGGGGGGGGTACCATTGCTCCCAGCATTCCTACCTCTTTTTGAAGAAAACCAGGCAAAAGCCACTGTCCAGAACTATTCCTTCAGATTCTATAGGCAAATGGAGCTGACATTGAAAACAAGCCTGTACAGTTATTCTGGTCTTACCAGAGACTGAGAGCCCCTCTTGGCAGCCCCTCAGCTGGTTCTGGACATTGAACTCTATCTGGGATTGGGGAGCAGGGGTAAGAATTTCCCAATATCTCACAAAGAAAATTAGTTTTTAAAACTATTCAGCTCACTTTGGAGTGTACTTTTACAGATTCATTTGATATACAAGGATTGGGATGTAAGTGGGGATAAGGGGTGGAGTTAAGCTAACAATTCTTTTTAAGACTAACTTCAAGAGAAGTGAAAGGGGAAAACAAGGGCCCTCTCATTTCAGGAACTGCAGTTTGACTTGAACTTTCCCATTTGGAATTAGGAATTCTGATCAGTAGGTGAAGTTGTCCATGGGCTCCATTCAAGTCCTTCTCCAGAACGCAATTGCCTAAGCCAAAAATAATTGCAAACAAATAAAATAAATAAGCCCTGTCAAAATGAGTCTTTCCTGTATTGCCCTCTTCTGGTGTCTCCAACAGAGTAGGAAGGAAGGTGAAAAGCCTGGCTTAGAGGTGGTTGAGCTATTGGTTTTCTAGACTCCAGGACTTGACCTGAAAACTTTCACCCAGGTGACTCAATAAAGTCCCCACCCCATGTCCCTCTAGCAGGAAGTCTTGAGGCCTGTATCCTGGTTGGACCTACTCTCTGTGTGCAGCTTCCTATACATCTACCTCTGTGTGTCTGGGGTCACTCCACATGGCCGCTTCTGTCTGCACCTGAGCAAATGGGTGTGCACCCATGCATTCGAATAATTATGCCTATAGACAAATCTTTATTTCTCAAATTCTGCATGAAAGTTCTGTGCAATCAGGTGACTCATGAAACTCAGCTGGCATGACCCATGGGGTCTGTATTCGAAAGAGAGTATGAAGTACAAACTCTAAAGTTTGGGTGGGATACAATGTTGATAAGGCTTCCTGTCTCTAGGGTTCCTAGGTCTCTTTCATACCTCCATCTGTTCTATTAACCTTTCAGAAGGAGGAGACCCTCAGATTATCCTGACCCCTCGAACCTCCTCAACCCTTCAGGAAGGGTGGGACCATTCCCTGGGACCTCTCCTGGTGGACTGTGGCTGGATTGGGCTGAATGCCAGGAAGTCGGGTGGAGTGAAAAATCTCCTTCGGACTCAAGAATGCAGCCCTCATCCTGGCCACCTCTCGGGCCAAGTGCGCCCTAGGTCTCTGGGAAGGGTGAAGACCCAGTAATACAAGTCGTGGAACCTTGGAACCAGCAATATGAGCGTTCGAGGTGGGGTGACAAAACTCTCTTCCTAGGCTTCCTGGGAGCAACAGTATTTGTAACTGGGACCTAGCCCGAGCCCGCCCCTTCGGCCCCTCCTCCAGACCTCACCTTGGCGCGCGGTACCCAGCAGGTTGCTAGAGCGCGTGTCACCACCACCGCCAAACACTTTGGGGCCACGCCATTTTTCATGGTCCCTACAGGGCCCAGGAGCCTGGATCAGGAAGGAAGGAGATCCAAACGAATGACCATGGTTCCCCCAAAGTTATCATGCGTATTTCTCAGCCGGAGTCACCTTGTGGGCCTGCACACCTTCTTTTCTCAGAGGCTCTTAGGAGTGCTGGGCCTCTGCGTCCGGGTTGAGGGGGGTGTGTGGGCACGTGTTCATGTGCCTCTGGCTTCTTGTGCATTCCTGAAATCCTCCAGAAATGTTTTCTCTTGGTTGAGAAAAATTCGGACATGCGACTAACTTCAGATAGCTTATTACTAAAGGACGAATGTGGGTCGGACGGGCAGTCGGTGTGTTTTTCTTGCGCATTCTCACAAAGTGAAGCCACCTCTCCCCGTCCTTCAGGCAATCTCCCTGGTCTGGTCAAAGGGCCAAGGCCCAGGAGTCCTGAGGCTTGGAGCTTGAGGCTCTTAATGTATATCTCGGTGTTATGATTCTAAGGCCCAAGCTGCCCCAGTGCCATTCAGGTTCAGAATGGAAAACGTAGGTTTTCCAAACAAGGGAGACCTGGATAACCACCCTCATTTCCGTTGCAGGGTGAAATCCCAATCTCGATGCATTGGACCTACCGACCAGACGTGTCACAGCCGACTCAGTCTGGGATCCGGATTGGCGGCGGCGTGGTGGGAGGGTTGGTGAGGGAGTTGGGTTGGTACAGGATGGAGGTGGAGATGGAAAGAGGGAAGAAAAAGAAACAGAACTGAGCAAGAATGTGGAGATGGGGGAGGATGGGGTGGAGATGGAGTTGGGACTGCCTCGGAGAGCGCCGACTTCTCACCCTGTTATGGAGAGGTGCGTCTGGCTGCTCCGTTGCACTCCCCCCACCCCCGAAAATAAAGCTAATGATGTAGTAATTTAGGAGGAGGTGAGGGGCTGGGCGAGAGAAGGGAGGGGAAAGGATGGGGGAACGCACGCCCCAAGAGCGAAAGCAAACAGCTAGCTGTGGAGGCGCCGCCCGCAGTTCAGGCTTCCCAACAGGATAGCTGGACTGGGATCCACCCGGTATTTCGCAGGAAAGGGGGGGTGGGACGAAGCAAGAGGAGGAGAGTGCATTACTAGAGGACAGAAGGAGGGAGGGAAGGAGAGACAGGAGAAAGAGCGCACCGCGCGGTTTAAAAGGAGAGACTTACACTTCCTAATGAATATTTATCCACCGCTGTTCCATGCTCCCGGCTTCCCTTACCTCTCCGCAGGTAAGATTCTCCCCTAGAGCCTCAACCCGGGGGGCTTTCCAACCAACCCAGTCGGGTCGCGGGTGGCCGGAAGGGAGGTCTCTTGGCCGGCGGGGGGC